CAAGAAATGTGAAAGCTTTGGGTTCCACTCAGGCACAGGGGACGTGTACGTCAGTCATGTGTATTAGATGCCCGAGTCCAGTGTGGGGGGAAAAAAGGTAAGCCTGTAACTGAAGACCCCCTTCAATTCATGAGTGATTCACCCCACCCCATGTATGCACTTAGGATGGGCTGAATGAAACAGCACTGACATTTAGGGGTAAAAGAGGCCCTAATGACCACCATTTCTCAATGGGTGCTTCATCCTTCCACCACTCTGTTTTATTAATACTCATTTTTCCTTATCAAGCAGGTCCATTGGGGTCTCTGTCTAGAAGCCTCACTGGGACCTTCTGTATCTTCTTTAGAACCTGCAGCTCTCATCCACAGATAACAAATGGCATTCTCATGCCCATTTCACCCTCTCACAGGCAAACATGTCCGGTAAGACCATTCAGATGCTGAATCCCTGACCCCAGACAGTCACCCTGGCTCACTGGACACAATGCTATTGATCAACACTTGTCCCTTTGGCTGCATCTGACTGTTAGTAATCCATTAAAAAAAAAAAAAAAAAAAAATCTGTGGCTTTCTTCCTCTCCAAACCAATTTGAATCCATTTTATAAGATGTCGTGAGACACTCCAACTGCTTTCTAATATCTCCATGATATCGGCTCCTAGACCCAATTCTGTAATATGTTTGCAAATGCTGTTACACTTGTCGAACATGGTTTGTTTTCAAGAACCTCATAGATTTTTTATTGGTTTGCTTGCTACAGCCCACTCTATGTCTTTACCAAGTGTACAACACAGCCTTCCTCCTGGCACCAGAACATCAGGCACTTGATTTGTAGGTTCAGTAAGAGAAGGCAATGGGCCTGGCACAGAACCTGAAAGCAAGAAAGAATGTGTGCAGGAGGGTGGCAGGAAAGCAAAGAGGACATACCCAAGCGCTGTTGTGTTACGACGCATAACCAGTTGTGTTTAAAAAAAAAAAAAGTCCTAATCCAAAAGTTAACAAGAGCAAAATGGACCAAAATATATTGTCATATTGGGCTGGGGTTGTGGCTCAGTGGTAAAACGCTTGCCTAGCACGTATGAGGCACTGGGTTTAATCCCCGGCACCACATAAAAAATTTAAAATAAAAATAAAATTTATATGTTGTCATATTGTGTGCATGTATGAGACGACAACAAGTCCCACTATTCTGAATAGGTACAGGGCACCAATAAGAAATACTTTTTTAAAAATTTAAATTCTTAAAACTAAACATTGTCTATCTAAACCCCTGAATGGCCAAACTTACTCATCTGTTGGAAATTTTCAATGGAAATTTCTCTAAAAGCAATTACAGAGAATCGAGTCCCCCAAAAGGAGAAAAACTAAAAATCACCAGCAAAATCCAGCCACCCTGTTGTCAATTCCTAGTTGAGCTTAACACTGAGGGCCCCAGCCCATGTACATGCACCAATGCCAAGGCCAAGGACAGACAAGGCTCCCCTCTGGTACAAAGAACCTACTCGGCACAGGACAGTCTTCTATTCTCTCTGTGCACATCATCTTAGTCAGTCTTCACAGAAGCCAGCAAGGCAGCTCTAATTATCCTCACTTTACAGATGAGAAGCTGGGGACCCGGGAAGATAAATGGCTTGCCCAAACTGGCACGGTGAGTCAGAGGCAGAAGCAGGATTGAAACCAAGGGCTTCAGACTCCAAAGCTCTTTTCTCTAAACCCCACTGCCTCTAAGCTAAATTCCCCCATCCCGGTCGCCCTGAGACTCCACTATCTCTTCATCATCATCAATAAATATTTATCAAGGACCACTGCCAACGCAGCCTCGCTCTAGTTTCCACAGCAACACACTGTCAGAGAGTCATGGGAGTATCCCGTGCTTGAAAGAATGATGCTGTAATGTCCTCTGATCATGGCTCTGAAAGGTGACAGTTACACTACTACAGGCGACTCCGTCTCAGCTGGCAGCCTGGAGGCTGCAGGAGCTGTATGTAGTGAGGACAAGCGAGGAGGAATTAAAGTAGAGGAGAAAGATAATGGGTGGTAACRCAAGAAGATGCTCTGCATTACTGTGTCTGTGACTGTTGTGGGAACAGAGTCCAAGCCAGGACTGCGCATTAATTGTTCTTCTATTAGGAAAYAAATCAAGCAATCCAGAAGAGAAAGTAAAATTTGACTGTACTGCTAACGGTTCCCCAGAGGTATCCGCCAGTGATTATCCAGTTAAACAGCTACATTGCTAACAACTGCAACCTTAGTCAGTCCCCTTTAAGATCCGGTTATGTCTTCAATCTACAGATTCTGAAACCCACTAGTAAATGGACTAATTATCCCCTTATCTGTTTGTTTAACTGCCTCCCCCTTCCCTCACTCCAAATCATGTTTTGCCACACTGTTAACACGCTGTTTTTAAATGTTTCTGTTTGTTTGTTTGTTTGGGGTTTTTTGTTTTGTTTATCATTCCTTACAAAAATTGCCGTGGCTCATGAAACACATGTTAGAGTAAAAAAGGAAATTGCCTTTTGATGACAAGCTTCTGCTTCTGACTTTTGGATACCGTGACCAACATGTTACAGCGAAACCTATCATCCCAACTATGTCTTGGATGTAAGCTTACAAATTGAAATTGCTTTCGAGACTGGGACTCTTCAGATCAAAGCAATATGAAAAACACACCACTGAGTTTTAAAATGCATTATTTACCCAGACTTGCCAAAAGTTTCAAATAAGATACTTTAAAGGAAATCAACCTATTCATCATATTTGTGGTAGATTTGGATTCCAACAAGACTGTGTTTAGAAACAAAACAAGTCCATTTTTTTAAAAAGTCAACATTTCTGTATCTACAAAAACAGACGTTTATCCAGAAACCTGGAAAAAAATCTAATTTAAGAGATTTAGTTAGCATTAAAAACCAAGAAGGAGAATATAGATATACACAGAAAATCCCCATTTCTACAAATGAATAAGGTTTAGAATGCACCAAATCCCCAACGCAGGCTAATCCCGCTCCTTTAAGGAGCCCTGGGAACAAACGCAGGCACTTGCTAAATATATAGTAGGTTTGCAGAAGGCGCCCAGCTCAGGTAACCCAAAAGAAACATATGGCGCCTTAACAGTAGATTTCTTCCCAAACTGTACTCCACAATTGCTTTTCTTCCCCCATGTGTTCCGAAGAGCAAACAAAGAAAAGGTGCTTGCTCCTCACACTTCTCTAAATGTTTTAACAAAAGGCTGCTGAATAAACACATTACTCATTTAAAAATTGAAAAGAAGTTCTATTCCTGAGATGAAAGCACCTAGATTTGCATTTTAACAGTTGTGGGCGAGCACCACCTGGCGGTAGCATCCGGAACACTCGTGCGTTCAGCCCCTGGACAGCTTCCCGAGCCCGCACGGGTTTTAGAGCTGGCGACCGAAGAACTATGAGACCCGTGGTGGAATACGCTTGATCTCTGGTTTTGCCGCGGGACCGTAACTATTACTGATGTGTGATTGGMCAGCCAAGCCTTGGAGGACAGTAAAATCTGAGTCACGAAACATACCCGGGTCCTCGGGACTGCCCCAGCATCCTCCTTCCCTAACCTCCCTTAGTATACTTAACACAAATCCCAAAATGAGAAAACCAGGGGCTGTGCACCATCTTTGGAATGGTGTTGGGGCTGCCTCTCTCCTCTCCCTTGCTAATCCAGCCTTTCAGCTTCACACACAAGGAGCGTCTTCCTCGCCCTGCTTCCCAGCCACGRAAATAGGCTGCCCCTTCACAGAAATCTGATGTTCAGTTTCCATTTTAGAATCAAGAGAAGGAGACTAACGCATTTCCAGTGGGATGTCACTACAGTAGTTCTTAGTCTCAAAAGCGGGCTGTTTAAAGGCGTTACCCTTCCCTCAGGTTCATCTTCTCCCCCCCCCCCGCCCCTCCCCATAATACACCGACACAGCTGTTGCTTAGCATTCCAAAAGAATCTCTTCCTAGGTCCTGCTTGATTAGCTCCACCGGCCCCTGTGGTCCCAGCGACCTCAGCTGAGCATGGTCACACCAAAGCCAAAGGGTGCTAAGAAACTTCAAGGTGATTTCCGAACTTGGTACACCTGCATCACCTCCTCCCATCTCTCCTACCCTCCGCTGCCTGCTCTTCGGGGACTGTGGATGGAAGCGGGCCGCAGTGGGATTTGGTGATGGGTAAGACCCCCATCCGTGGTAGTCTCTTTGCACATGTCAACTTAGCCTTAGGAGCACACCAGCGCAAACTCCCACACTGGGGAACTACTTCTCCCCTACCTCCTAGGGACTGAACCCAAATAGGAACTTTTCAGGCGCAGACAAGCTCACAGGTTAACGCCACTCCACTTGAAGGGCCTTAACAGGGGGTGCCCATTACTCCGGATAAAAGGCACGGGGTAAGGTGGAGGCACTATTGTTTCAGTCATGAATGCAAACACTCCCATGGGTACCTTGAGTGGCTTGCTTGGGGACAAGCTAAGGAGTGCCGCATGTTTTGAAAAAGACGGGGGCTTACTGTGTGTCTCTGAGGAGAAAAGAAAAGCCACCGCCCTGGCAGCCTCGGCCTGCTAGGGACCTGTCCTCCCCAGTTAAAGCGCGCACTGCCCAACGAGCTGCCAGGGAGAGAATATTCTCCCCGGGGCGCCAATGCCGCTTCTCATCTCGCCGCGGCCCCAAACACTCGAGTGACAGATTCCGACAAGTGGGAGGCAGCAAGTGGAAATATTCGCAACAACCGCGGAAAGTTACTCCAGCCCCGGGGGCCGGCAGGAAAGTAAAGCGAGGAACTTGGCGAAACGCGGGCTGCCGAGGGACGCGCGGGGCCGAGCACGCTGTCCAGGACGCTCCTGCACACCACGGCCCGCGTCTCGCAGCTGCGACCCGAGCTCGGGCCACTGGGCCCTGYGTCCTCGGAGAGATCGCAGAACTTTCTCAGCGGAAGGCCCGCGGCGGGGGCCCGGGCGCATCGGGGAAGGAGAGGGGAGCCGGGCGGGCGCACTCACCTGCGGCGCTCTGCGCCCGGGCGCCGGGCAGCGGCGGCAGCTGCAGCCGCAGAAGCAGGCTGAGGGCGAGCGCGGCGAGGCTCGCCATCCGGGCGGCGGCAGGCGGCTCAGCCCCTTCCCGCGGGGGCCGGGGCCGGGACTGGGGCGGGCGCGGGGCGGCCCCGCATCGCCGGCGCGGCCGCAGGCTGTGCGCGCCGCTGGGCGCCCCAGCTGGCTCTAATCGGGCTCCGGGAGCCGGCGCCGCTGCGCTCCGAGCCGAGGCGCGGCGCGAACTGAGGCGGGAGGCTGGGCGGGGGCGGGACGCGGGGGCCGGGGGGCGGTGTCCCCCGAGTCCTAACGCCGCCGTCGCCTCCCGCCCGCCTGGGCGCTCCGCCTGGGCCGCGCACACACCCTCGCGCGCACGCCCGCGCCTGGCACACGCCCGCGGCAGGCACACGCGGGCTCCCCCACGCACTCTCTCCAGGCTGGCCGGCTCCGGGCGGCTCGCACAGTCACGCGCGTACGCGCCTCACCCTCGCACCCACACGACCGGCAGGGTCCTCGCCTCTTCGCCCCGCGCCTCGCCACGCAGCCAAGCATCGTCTGTCCTGCGGGGGCGCAGGTACTGGGGCGGCGGGGGGGAGGGAGAAAGCAAGCAGCGGTTTGAACTCGGGTTGGGGAACTGGTGAATGGGGAGCAATGGGGAGAGAAGGGAGACAGGGAGCAGCCTCTCTATTCCCGATGAGCGGCCAGGTGACGTGCGGGGGTTGTGGGGGGCGTTCTGCCCAAAGCTGCTGGGGCAGGCTGCCGCTGGGGAGGGTCTGGGGCACACCCTGAGATGAGAATTTCATCTAAGATTGTTTCTCCCCCACCACCACCCTACCCCCTCCTGGGGCGCATCACTAACCCTGACCTCACTGCAATCTCGCCCCCTCCACCACCACCTCGTCAGCCGCCCAGCCTCCCCCCATCACCCTTGTTCACCCCGCATATCTCTCTCTCTCTCTCTCTCTCTCTCTCTCTCTCTCTCTCTCTCTCTCTCTCTCTCTCTCTCTCTCTCGTCCCCACCCGAGGCGGGGATGGGGGAGTACACAGGGCATGAAGCATCTCTCTCTCTCTCTCTCTCTCTCTCTCTCTCTCTCTCTCTGGCCGCCTTCCCCCTCCCTTTCTTAAGAGACTGAACCGCTAGCTCTTTTTCTTCTGGATCTGAACAAAGACCTGGTTGGAACTGAAAGCCTCAAACCTTAGCTCAGAGTCTCCGTTGACACCCCTCACCACCACCACCACCAGTCCCAGGCATAGCTGATCCCAGGGGCTGACCCAGGCAGTTTCTCCGATGTTCTGGGGCAAGGATCCCATGGAGGAGACTGGGTGCCACGGAGTCTTGGATGTGAGCCTGGGATGTAAAAGAAGGGATAGGGACACCCAGAAATGCTCAAGGGATTCCCACTTGGTGAATACTTTGTCACTTGGCCAAAGCTCCTTCTTTTCAATGGCAGCACCTCCTCCCATCTTTGTTGGGGTCTCAAAGATTGGACTGGGTGGACTGTGGGGAGTCACGTGAAAGGCATGGCCAGGGTTTGCAGAAGTGGGGTACCTGGGCTCTGTGCTGGAATTGCTATGGCCCATAGGGCCTCTCTCCTACCCCAGTTCCCTCTAGGTGATGTGGAACCAGAGGTCCAGTTGCTTCCCCACCCCACACTGGTAACCCCAGGTAAATTCTCCCAAGCATCGGCTGTCCTCTCTGGATTCCCCCATCCACCACAACTCCCACTTTCAAAAAGAGAGGCGCTTGACTAGCCTGTTGGACTAGTCAGTGCCTCCCACACTTGCCTGGGCAAAGAACTCCCTGACCCTGTCCCCAGTCCCGCTTCCCAGCCTCCTGCCCCTGGAAACTGGAATACTACAGTTTGATGGGGGAAGCCTAAGAGTTGGACCTTTTACATGCTGCCTTGGAGGTTCTTCATAATTTTGCAAATATTGATGGTGCACTTAACTATGTGCCAGCTTCTGTGCTATTCTCCAGGGCTCCAGGGACATGGCAATGATTGGCCCTTGGAGACCAATGGAATGGGAAGATGCCTTCTGCTCAGAGCTACACTGCCAGATCTTTGCTCCATTAAACCCTCCCCCAGGCCCTACCGTGGGCAGTTGTTAGATAGCCTCTGAGAAAAGGTCTGACCCCAGCCAGGAACCTGCAATCCCAGGCATAGCTGATCCCAGGGCTGACCCAGGCAGAAAAGCCACTAAGGAGCTTGGTGTTGCTGTTGTAACTTGTCCCAGCTCCTAGGGCTCCTGCCAGTTCATTCCCTCTCTGACTTTCTGGAAAAGTATAAAATAGCAGTCCTCACAGCATCTCCCCAGCACATGCCCTCCCCACCCTCCTACGCCCACACGCCAGGGATGCTGCATCACTGCAGGGGAAGGTTCCAGATCTGAATAGGATCCATAGCCCTGAGAAAAGTCCATTTCAKTGGTGACCAAGTTGGTAAAGCAGGACCTGGTGGGGCACCTGGCCTTACCTTCCCAGGTACGTGGTCATGAACCATTACCTTCATGCTTTCTGTTTCCCTCCCCTCCCTATTCCTCAGGAGTGTGGGTTCCCACCTGCTGCTGGCAGGGCTCTGGCATCCAGCCTCACCCCCATGCTTTTACACCTGCCAGCCCTCTACCTGGAAGGCCCGTCCTGCATCCTTTTTCCCTGGTAAACTCAGGGTCCTTAAGGATACTTTTTGAAACTTTGGCCAGCAGCCCCTTCCTGCCCATAGTGTGTTGAAGACCCCTGCACTGGCCACTACGAGTTGTCATCTCTTCATTGGTCTGTTCTACAGAACCGAGTTCCCAAAGGGCACCTGGGCATTTCGCATAGAGCTTCGAGGCAAAGAGGTTTGGGGGATGAAGGGAGAGAGAGGGCTGGCACAAGGCCAGGGGCTCCTCAAGCACAGCTGCTCTGATGGCTTCTCAAGGGAGGGGAGTCACAGAGATCCAACAGCATCTCACACCCTCCTGCACAAGCATCCCAGGTGCTCTTCTGCCCTCCTGAGCCCAGGGAGCTGCACCATGACTTCATCTTGGCCTCTGGCTCAGGACTGGGCTCAGCATCAATGCTTAAGGGCTTGGGGCCCTGGAATGGCTTGGGGATGGCTGGAGAGGCGGCATGGCACTCCTCCCACATCCTCTTCCACTGATGCCCAACCAGCAGGCCTCTTGTCCTCTTATCAGCACCACCTGGGAATATACTGCCCTTAACCCCATGGGAAATTTGGCAGGACCTCTCTGGGGCTCAGTTTCCCTGTCTGCATCTTGGCTTCCCTCTCAGTTCTGGGAAGCAAGACAGGAGTGAGGTTTCGCTGTGGATCTCTTTATCCAAGCAATTTTGAAGCCCAAAACACAGGGTGTCCTCTCGGGTGTGATGCCAGTCTGCCTATCATGTGCCAGGGCTGTGGGTTTGCAGCTGCAACAAAAGATGGGGCCTTTGCCCTCATGGAGCTTACAGTCTGGTGGGGAGACTGGACAAAGAGAAGCAGGCAGAGGACATGGCTCTGGCCTCCGTCTCCCTGCCCCACCTGCCCCACCTGCCCCACCTGCCCCAGTGCTGGTCAGCCCTCCAGTGGGGAGTGGAGCACCAGGGGAAGACCAAGGTGGCTCACTTAACCCTGGGGAAAGGCTGGTAACATGGCTGTTGTTTGATCTCCATCTCATACAAGAAGAGACTGAGACCCAAGGAAGACAGAGGCCTGTGTAGGGAGCTGACAAGGGTCACTTCACATGCCACAGGGTGGCTGCTCCATTGGAGCCTTCTATCTTCCTGCTGAGGCACAGATAACCACAAACCACTTAAAATTTAGCATTTCAGCCCTTAGTCACTCGAACCATATTTTAATTACTTTGTGGCCCCATGTAGTCAGTGGCCGCCATATCAGACAGCACAACTATGGAACATTTCCATCATCACAGAAAACTGTTCATGCTACTCTAGAGCAAAGGTCAGTAAACTGCGCCTCATCTGGCCCACACCTACCTTATAAAGTTGTATGTACTTTATTTTGCATATTGCTTTTTTCAGAAAGTTCTGATAGGGCTGCTCTAGGGCAGGGGTCAGCAAACTACAGCCTATGCACCAAATCTGGTCCACTACCCATTTTTATAAATAAGGGTCTTTTTTATAATACAACCTATTTATTCACATAGTGCCTATTGGGGCTGCTCTCTGAACTACAGACATCATCTGGCCTATAAATCTGGCTGAAAAAATGTACTGCCTTGCCCTTTACAGAAAATGTTTACTGATCCCTCCTCTACAGAAAGTCTCAGAGCACAATCTGACAATCATTGGTCTAAAACTGATTCTCAAAGTGTGGTCCCTGGACCAGGAGTATCAGCATCACCTGGGAATACAAGTTCTCAGGCCCCAATCCCATCCTGGTGAATCAGAAATGCTGGAGTTGGGACCCAGGAATCTGTCTTAGCCAGCCTGGTATCCAAGTGATCCTGATGCATGGAAAACCCCTGTTCTAAGACACCCAGGATGTGCCAACAAGTGACTGGCACAGGAAGAGTGTTAATGGGCTCCCCTGGGTAACAAAAGAGTTTGAAGGAAATGTCAGGAGAGTGATAACCCATCCACTGCCTAATCCCTTTGCAGCAAAGCCTTGACAGGGCTTCCACAGAGGCTGTGCCCTGGCAGAAAGGCCCTGGCAGAGAGCTACCCGCGATGCCCAGGCCCCGCCCCCCRCCGCCTGTGTGCCCCGCCCTCCACCGCGTTGTTAGCACATTGAAGCAGCCGCTGCGCATAAATTCATGGACCAGCTGTCTCTTTTAATCTGGTCGCAAGATGAAACCATTAATAGATGTCAGACACATTGGCAATGATCTCTTCATTAATAATTTCCTCCTTTCTGAGGAAAAAAAAATTAGTAACAAGCAACCATCAATAATTCAGAAATACAAGTTAACCTTTCTATTAGCAGAGTCACTGTGTGCACACTGCTCACTCTTTCCAGAGCCAGAAGTTCTGGCTTGAGTAATGTTTTGATGGCAGGAATATTAATATGCATTAATGCTGTCTGTCAAGACCCGCAAATATAAATAACCCAAATGCAACTTAGA